AGCTGTTGTAGGTAATGATTTTGAGCGTTTTGTCGATCACTGTGATCTGTTGTTGAGCGCAGTGGTTAAGCACCGCGAGGATGTAAGTGAGCGCCAGCATATATGTCTGCACGGCCACTCTGTATGTAATCCTCGTACCGTGGACTGATTCAGCTCACGCTACCAGTGTAAATGATGATCCTTGTCTCTCCACTCACAACCTCTTGATGCAAGAAGAAGACAGGCAGATGATAGGACATCTTATACCGAATCAATTCAGCGTTCGATAGGTGCGTCCACCCTCCCGCCTCAGCTGGGCGGGTCCAAGCCACAAATGGCAATAGTGAACAAGAGAGTGGAAGCATGAGCGAGCGAGAGCAATAACATGGATAATTCTAAACATCATCCTATAACTCACATCCTTGCTAATATAACTTTCACACTCTACCCTTCGGTTCGGCCGTGTTTCCCTTTTTGGGGCCTCCTGGGAGGCCCTCGTCGCCACCGCTGGATTCGCCTCGAAGTTCTGGTCAGAACGCACCTCGGGAGAGGTCCAGGGAGTAGCGGTATCGGACCTTTTCGTTTCCCCAGATAGGGGGGGATCGGCATAGGGGTGGATGCATCGACCCCCAATCGCCCATTGATGGCCGACAGGGGCCCGATAGCCCTAACCTGCCCAGTAAGTTTCGGATTCACTATCGGGGGTTTATCGCCGAGCCAGTCCCCCCCTATCGTTGCCCCTCATATGTTCGGGTCGGGCACATGCCTCCAAGGAGGACATATGGTATTACAGTCAAGCCGTGAAGTCAGGATGCGCGATGAGGATGCAAGGGCCTTGGACGCCCTTTTCGAAGTTCTTCGAACGGGGTGCGGCCAGCGAGAGTGGCGACGGATGGATCGAGGAGGCAAGGATACAAGGGTACTCCGGATTCCATAACAAAGTGGGGGGGGGTCACATTCGCGGGGGGGGTCTAATTTGAGCTGTCTTGGAGGGTTCGGGGGGGTCTGGGCAAAGGGCCGCCCTTTGATGGATAGTCTGGGGGGTCTAAAACTTCTCGTCTGGGAGGGTTGTGACCCCCTCCTTTTTCTTACGAAATCTGGAGTACGCTTGGGAAGGTCGCCCATCCTTCCCATGCGGGTTGACTGTCGTACGTCCTCGCGCGCCCCATGAGTTGCTCAAGGGCGCTCCAGAGCTCTCTATCGGAGCGTCCTCGAGGCTCTGGAGCCGGCCGCGGCGCCCGATCCACCTTTAGACTCAGCAGGGAAAGAAACACACAGACACAATTAATCAGCGATTCCCAGAAGATATGGGAAAATATGGGAAGTGGGGGGGGAAGACAACAACACAGAAAATATAGGAAAGTATGGGGAACCTTTTTATTTGTGTGTATTTATGTGTGTGTGTGTCCCAGTTCCCCTTCATCTATGGGTCACCCCCAGGGGCGCGAAGATGAGCACGCGTCGCGGTCGGAGCCAGAGCGGCCGCCCCCTCCCAAAGTTCGGGGGTTGTTAGGAGGAGGAGGAGGAGGTGGAGGAGGAGGAGGAGGAAATGTGCCCCTGGCTGAAGTCCCAGCTTCTCGGTCGATTTTGGAGCCCCTTGTGCCCTTGGAGCCTCGTGAGGGGTGCTCTGGAGGCCGTGTGGGCCTCCCTGGAAATCCCAGAGGCGCCCCTGGTCAGGGGCACTCTTCGCCAACGCTGGACCTAAGCGCTGTGTTGCTGACCGGCGGGTTTCGTTTTGTTCTTCGCTTCGGCAGCGAGGCCCAGGGGCACAGGCAGAAGAGCTCGAAACACAGGTCGGAAAGCGGCACGAAAAGCACCGCTCGGGCCCAGCCCTGCTTCGGGCAGCGCCCGGACAGCTGAGGGTCGCGAAGGCGCGAGGCCGCGGAGGTGTCCGAGCACCGCGGGGGGGCGCGCTGCGCGGAGTGTCGGGCAGCTTGGACTCGTTCTCCTCCGGGCGACGCGCTCGTCGACCACACGCAAGAGTGATCGTTCGCCAGAGTGCGCTCTGGTACGGGCCCGTTGGGGTCCCCCGATCGCCGAGCGCGATGCGATGGTGGCGTCTTGCGCGCTTGCGTTTGGTCACCCCGCGGCCCCCCAGAAAGCCGCGCACCAAAGGGCACTCGTGCCCAGGGTCGCTCTTCGCGTGTAGCCGACGAGTGTCGGGCAGCTCAGAGTTACCATCATCCGGATGTGCGCTCGCCTTACCTTCTGCCAGCCACGCGAAGAGGGTGTGTGTGGGGGAGGGGGAGTCGGACGGGGCCAGGACGAGGATAAATCCCTTCCAGAGCGTTCCGGAACGCTCTCAGAGCTATCCAGTACGCTCTGAGAAGGCCGCGGCGCCCGAGACGCCTCCCAGAGCCGCTGGATCTCAGAGATCCTCGATCTGTCCTCACCCGATTTTTTTTCGTTATGGTAGGGCCGGCGCCTCCCGAGAGGCAGCCCCCTTCGAGGAACCCCACCCCCTCCCCCTGCCACCCCCCCTCGTGGGCGCCGCCAGTTCTCAGGGCCCCAGGAGCCAGAAACCACAGCACTCCGCGAGACTTCAACGCAAGCTTAACCGTAGCCGACCTCCCTCCACTCGCCCCAAGCTTCGATGTTCGCTCGTGCTCGCGGTAATTCTGCGTTTCGGCGTCAGCACTGGAATATCTGGGTCTGGGGCTGCCGACGCGGTGCGGGAAGGACTTGCGTGAGGCTCGGAGGCTGATAGACCTCCTACCCTGACACGTCGATTAGCGAATTGGCCGCTTTCGGTTCGCGAGAGGGCGTCGCGGCCGACAGTTTTGCGGGTCCAGGTCCGTCGGCTTCGGTCCTGGGCCGCTTACACTAGAGGGAGGCTTGCTGACGGGAGGTTTGTCCACTGCCGAAGGTTTTGGACCGGATGTTCCCGCAGCCGTTGTGGAATCCCTTGGGGGGACACTGGGGAGAGGAAGGGAAAGGATAAGGAGGAGAGGGAGGAGGAGAGGGAGGAGGAGGAGGAGGAGGACGAGGCCCTCTTGAGGTTCTCGTGAGGCCCCGGCGGGGCTTCCTGGGAGCCTTTTCGGGGGCTTTTCTGGGGGGCTTCCTGGGGCCTCTTGAGGCCTTCTTGGGGAGGCTGGCCCACCGCCGGGAAGCTCCGCGGAGGGCTGCGGGGCACCTGCGGGCCAGGACGCCCCGCCGAGGCCAGCGCGCGAGCGCACCAGGGATATCGGAGGGGGCGTCGGCCCACGGCCGCAGTCTGCTGCTTCGGGCGTCGCAGCTCGTCAGGAGGGGAAAAACACACGCACACGCACACGCACACGCACGCGCACGCGCACGCGCACGCGCACGCGCACGCGCACGCGCACGCGCGCACGAGCACACACACGCACACGCACACGCACACGCACACGCACACACACGCACGCACGCACGCACGCACGCACGCACGCACACACACACACACACATACACACACACACACACACGCACACGCACACGCACACGTACACGCACACGCACACGCACACACACACACACACACATCCCAGGAAAGTGCTCCAAATCCCTTATTCATCGTCCCCTGGGTCTGGTTTTTCAATGCGCCTTTTTCTACCTGGCGGCGTTTGGTTTATTTGGCCGCTTTCTTTGGATTGGAGTTTGGGTCTGGTTTATTCAGGCGCCGCATCGAAGAGGGGGGTCCGGAATATTATGCCGCATTTGGAGGGGGCTCCGGTTTTTTAGGGAGGGATCGATTAATAAAGGATTTGGAGTATGGATTGATACCAGAGAAAAGCCCCAATCATAATCTTTTTAGTGTTGTAGGGCTCTGGGGTTACAGGGCTATAGGGCTAGAAGGCACCCGGGCACCCGGGCGGGCCGTGGAAATCGATTACACACCTCACCTAACCATATGAACCCGCTAGGACCCCTACAGAGGCAGGCTCTGATTGGGGAAAAGTTTGGGAATCTTGGGATTTGTGTCTATTCATTTGAGTGTCCCTGGGTCCCTTCACCTTGATCTGTCCCAGACAGCCGACGTCTTCATCTTTTCAGTGCAGTCGGTCCATGTCATGAGGATGCGCGATAAGAATGATAGGGCCTTGGACGCCCACTTCGAAGCTTTTCGAGCGGGGCGCGGCCAACGAAAGAGGCCCAGGATGAGCCGAGTAGGCGAGGTTGCAGGGGTACCCCTGGGAAGGTTGCCCCTCCTTACTATGCGGGCCGACTGTACGGAGCCCCTGGCAATCCCGAACCTTTTTCCCCAGGGCCAGCTTTTCATCGTGAGCTGTTTTGTTGGCGGTCCGGGGGCCCGGCGAGAGTCACCTAGGGCCGACCTCCGGGAAAGACCGCCGCCTTGATGGTTGGCCATAGATTGTGTGAGATGTCTTGTTTCATCAAAGTTCAGGAAGGGAAAAAACACACAGACACAATTAATCGTCGATCCCCCAGAAGAAAATATGGACAAATATGGGAATTGGGCGGGAAGACAAAAACCCAGAAAATATAGGAACATATGGGGAATTCTTTTATTTGTGTGTATTTACTTGTGTGTCCTTGGGCCCCTGGAAAAGTCTTCGATCCGATTTTTCTGTCCGCGGCCGAGATTTCCCGACCATCTCCCCGAGGAAGGCTTTTCGTGCCGGACCTGGTGTTTGACGGCCCCCCGGGGGCCCGACAACGGACCCCAGAGGCCGAACTCCAGGAACAACGCTGGGACTGCGAGCACCAGACCGCATCGTCGGAGCTGTGGGCTTGCGGGGCCCTCGCTGTCGCCTCGCTCGCCGCCGGGCGAGTGGGACGACCGCGAGGGCCTTACTTTTGTCAGTGCGCTCTTGGACGTCCCGAGTTACCGAAGTCCCCGCGTAATCACTCATTAATATCGTCCCCCGGGCCTGGTTTTTCTAAGGCGCCTTTTTGTAACTGGGGGCGTCTGGTTTAGTAGGGCGCTTTCTTTGGTCTGGAGCTTAGGGGGTCCGGTTTATCAAGGCGCCCCGTCGAAGAGGGGGGTCCGGAATATTAGGGCGCATTTGGAGGAGGTTCCGGTTTTTTAGGGGGGGGGGGTCGATTAAGAAGGGATTTGGAGTACGGGGCTCCGACCCTCGTCTCACTCGCTGGCAGGCCATGGGCGATATTGGCCCCCGCGTCGGGGGTTGCTAGGAGTGCCCCTGGCCCGAGGTGCCCTCAGCTTTTCGCTCCAGCCTTGAGCCCCTGGGGCCCTCTGTGTGCCCTGGAGGCTGTCTGGGCCACCCCGAGAATCCTGGGGGTATACAGTCGGGGCGCTGAAGAAGGAACCCTTTTCGTTGGGGAGGGGCTCCGCGTTCCTTGATTGCTTCACAGTTTGCCTCGGGTTCTCCTTGGGTTTTCGATGGGCAACCGAAGTCCAACCTGTGGATGGAAGGGGCCTCGCTCCTTGTTTGGGGTTCCTTGGGTCAACGCCTCGACTGTATACCTTGGGCCAGGGGCACTTCTAGCGACGCCCGGCCCGTGTACGGGGCTCCGGCCCTCGTCTCACTCGCCGGCAGGCCAGGGGCGACCCTGGCCCCCGTGGCCGCTGGCAGGGGGCAGGCGCGCGGGGCGGCTCGCGGGAGCCTCCCGCGCGCGGCCTCCTTGGCGCGCGGCCGGGGCACCGAGCATAGGAGCTGCCTGTGAGGCCAGGCCTGCCGCAGCTGGAGGAGCCGTAGGAGGAGGAGGAGGAGGAGGAGGAGGAGGAGGAGGAGGAGGAGGAGGAGGAACCGTGCTCCCCGCAAGGTGGCCGCGGCTCGAGCGCCACGAAGGGGGTGGGTCCTGCATGGCCCCCTTTTCGACCCCACCGATCCGATTCGGTGCTGCTTCCCTTCGGAGGTCGATGGGCCTCCCATACTTTACCCTGACACGTCGATCAGCGAATTGGCCGTTTTCGGTTCGCGTGAGGGCGTCGCGGCTGTCATTTTTGCGGGTCCAGGTCCGTCGGTTTCGGTCCTAGGCCGTTTTCCTTAATAGGTGGTTTTCTGAAGGGAGGTTTGTCCACCGCCGATTCCTTTCGGCTCGATCAGATTCGATTTCGGTATTCGGGCGATGAATCGTCCCGATGCTTGTGCGGCGCTGTTGCCTTAAAACTCCACAGCGCGCAAACATGGAGCTGGCGGAGACTAGGCCTGAGCGAGCGCCACGTCGGCGAGCGACACCCTTGCACGCAGCCGCTTCGCGGGCCGGATGCGCCACCGCGTTGGGAGGAGGGGGGACATCTTCTATCTAGCGAGAGCCAGCCTCTGGCGAGGACGCGTGTGGGGGGAGGCGGTCACGGGCCTTGTAGCCCCGAGCGCGGCCGATCCGATTCCAGTTCGGCTCCATGCCGGTGCAGCCCGATCCGAGGTACACTGCTCGGGTGTAGCCAGGACCGGACCCGGTTAGCGGCAGGGCCCCGGGGCCCCTACATTGGCCAGAATCACTAAACCAGGTCTGCCGTAGCTGGTGTTTTTTCAGGTGACGGCAGTTCCGGCTAGTGGAACGGGGCGGAGGGGGCGTCCCCCAGTACACATCATGAGACCAGGTCCCACGAAACCCAGTTCTGCCAACGCCCGAACTTTGGTTCGAGAATCGATGTTGACTGATCCCGTCCTGCGGGAGGGGCCCCGAGGCTTTCCGCCGTCTTCGGGCTCCTGGTGACGGGCCCCTGGGCCGGTGAGAAAACGGTTCTCGATGAAGAAAAACCATGGACATAAATTTGGCGCTCCGCGCCAACAGTTTATGTCTATGCTATGTTTTCTGTTCCTATCCTGGTGACGGGCCCCGGGACCACGACAAAAACGATTCGGGACGAAGAGATGATCCTTGGTAAAAACTCATCGGATTCAGGGCCCGTTTCTCATCTGGCCCCTATCAGCCGAAGAGGTATGTGACCGAACAGATACGCGACCGTATACAAAACCATAGTGGGACCGAAATCGCCACCAAGACTGAACGCCGAATTGGTTTGGGACCATAGTTCGGCCACGCTCGGGCGCGTTCGGAAAACATCGGGCGCGGGTTCTGGTCACGCTCGATGTTGCTTTTCCGGCGCAGTCTCGGTCACCACGCCCCCCCCCCCGATAGTCAGGGGGTCCACAAACGGGGTGGTGACCACACCATGTGGTGAGTCGGTGGGGATTCGGGGTCACCGCACGTTTTTGGGACTCGGGCGACTGGGGCATCCGACGGCCCAAGGCCGTGCGTTGACGCTCCGTGCGGTGAGGTCTCGGGGGGGGGGGGTTCGAGGTCGCCGCGCGGTCTGTCACCGCACCTCTGCGGGACTCCAAAGCTGGGGACGAGGCTGCATGACTCAGGAGGGAAAAATACACACAGACACAATTATTCGTCGATCCCCAGGAAAACATGGGAAAATATGGGAAGGGGGGGGGGGGGGGAAGACAGAGACCCAGAAACTATAGGAAAATAGGGGGAATCTTTTTATCTGTGCGTATTTATCCGTGTGTCCCAGGGCCCCTTCAATGACGTCTCCCTGGCAAGGCGCGTCGACGCGCGGCGACCTTCGGAGGAGGGGCGGCTATCGCCGATGCCGCGGCGGGGCTCTCCTCGAGCGTCGAGTCGGGACGCGCCCCGGGGAGAGGTCCCGGGGGCGACGACGGGGGCGCATAGCCCGGGGGCGGGCACTGCGCCCCCCGAGAGGTCGGGGGAGAAGTCCTGGGAGTCGTCGCGGACACGGCTTCCCCAGCTGCGGCCTGTCCTCGAGGTGCTGTTCGACCACGGGCCTCTTTGTCGAGGCCCAGCCGTCTCGTCTTCGTGCAGGAGAGCCTCGAAGCCGACGTCGCGAACAAAAAAACGACAACACCGCGGAAAGTCTCGATTGGAGCCCGACGGGGGCCCTGCATTTCTGCGCTATTTCTCGAGCTGTGTCGATCTGAGAGGGCCCCGGAACCCGAATTTCGGCGAACATGCCCAGTGGGAAGAATTGCATCTCGCCATGCTTTCGGATCGGCTTCGCGTAAGAGTGACCCTTCGCCGGAGTGACCCAGCCAGAGGCCAGACCCCAAGCTTGGACTGTCTGGATTTGGCCACAGTAGCGCCCCCCTAATAGGGCGCGCAGCCCTATTAGCCTATTAGGGGGGCGCTATCATTCTTGCCAGGGGTCATTCTTGCGTGCAGCTGATTTGGGCCGCTGCAGATGCCGCCGAAGACCGCGGCGGGCCGACGGGCCACCAAAGGGGCCCGCGCTCGAGCACGCCGCAGACGCCTGGCTGTCGCACCCGCCGGGCCACACGATGACGGCGGAGACAGGCCCTTCTTCTCTCGAAGGAAGCACGGCATGCGCATACATGTTTTTGGACTGGGCGCGAGTAAAGGGGGGGCGATACATGGCGGGGGGCGGAGGAGAGAAATGTGCCCTTCTCGAGCCCGAAAGGGCCCCCTCTGGGCCCTGTAGGGGCCCCCTTGACAGGCCCTACAGGGCCTCTTTTCGGCAGCCTTCGCTGCCCCCGCCTGGCTTGTCGCCCCCCACCCCTTCTCGCCGCCCAAGTGAAGCTCCGCGCGGATCTCTTGGATCGGCGCCACGCCCCCCCCCCCCCCCTGGCGCGCGGAGCGGGCTAGGGACCGCGCCGGAGGCGCCGCCAGGGTGGCCCAGCGCAGATCCAAGGAGTCCGCGCGGAGCCCCGAACGTGTATGTTGGTGCCAGTGTTCCTTCGTCTGTGTTCGCCCGTTTTTCATGTTATGGGCAGCATTCCCGCACCGCGCACCCCCCTCTGGCAGCGTTCCTGGTGGTCCGCGTGCGCGCTGTCATCCGAGCGGCAGCGCCAGCACCACCTCACCATCGACTGCTCCTGGCTTCCCCGACATGGCAAAACGTGCGTGCCCGCTCATTTGCCTGCCGAGACGCTAGATACACCTTGGTCATAGACGCGCTGACCTGTCAGCACCTTCCCAAAACCTGCCAGCACCAATCCGGGCCTTCCAAATGGATTCCGAGTAGATGGGGTCGGAGGATCGTACCGCATCACCGATGCATCGGCGATGCGGCGCGATGTGGAGCCCAGTTTCCTCCACCCACATGTCGCCGATGCATCGGCGACCTCGCCGATGCATCGCCAATGCATCGGCGATGCCTCGGGGATGCGGCGCGAGCCTCCTATCCACGCAACTCGGACCCCATTTGAGAGGCCTCTGCGGTGGTCATAGACGCGCTGACCAGTCAGCACCAGCCAGTGCTTGAGTGTTGAGTCTTCAAAATGTTTTCCCTCAACATTGATGCCCACTTTGTTGCTGACCAGTTTGTGCGTTTTTTCGGACGGCGCTTCTGCGGGCTCACATGATTTCATAGACTTGATTCAGCACAGGCCAGTCTCTAAGACTGCGCTTTCTTGTGTTTTATCATTGAGCTTCCTACCCAGTCTGTGCTGAGAGGTTTGCGCGCGCTCGACTTGAGCTCTGGCCCGCATTGCTCAGGCGGACGGCAATGGGCGGGGTGCAAAAAACGCGGGGGGATCGACACGTGGCCCGAAAGGGCCCTGGACGGCCCCGAAGTAGCCACCGCGGGCCCACAAGGCGAAGGAAAGGCGCACGTTTTTTAACTCCTCCTCCTCCTCCTCCTCCTCCTCCTCCTCCTCCTCCTCCTCCTCCTCCTCCTCCTCGGCAACGAACACACGAACTTCGGCCGAGGGGACTCACACGTGGGGGATGCCGTGGTCGGCCCTTCGGCGGCACGCGCCGACCTCGGACAGATCCGGGGCTCCGGACGGCTCGTGCGCTGCCGGGTTCGCCCCGCTCCCGCCCGCTGCGAGCAGCGCCGGGGTCGCGAGGTTCGGCCCGCGCGCACGTGGCGTGGCCGGCCGGGGGGTCACCACCCACCAAACCACCCCAACCCAACCCGAAGGCTCAGATTTACCCTCGATTTCCAGTGGGGGGGGGGGGGTCGGCTTACCCCCCCCCCCCCAACCCGAAATTCGGGTCTTCGGGTTGGGTTGGGGTGCGCCTCCAGCGCCTCCAGCGCCACTCCAGCGCCTCCAGCGCCTCCAGTGCCACCTCCCTGGCAGCGCCTCCAGCGCCACTTCAGGCGCGCTCCGCGTGGGTCCGTTCTTCTTCTGTTCGTTCCCAGGCAGAGCACCGCGACGACGGTGTCGATGCCAATGGCGATGCCAATGGCGGCAGCGGCGGCAGCGGCGGCGACGACGACGTCAGGTGACCCGAGATCCCGGCGTTCTGCAGTTTTCTCACACCGGGCGTTTTCGCCCGGCATCGGGCCCCGGGACCCTCGCTGGCCGATCCGTCTCGAGAGATGCAGCAGAAAGGGGGGGTCTGGGGCTGCAATGGTGATTCCCCGCCCGCCAGGCTGGGGGGCTGGGGCTGTTTCGGGGGAGCGTAAGACCCGGGTTTGCCGGGACTCGGGTTCGCCATCGTTTTTTGACGACCGCGACTCGGATTTTGACGAGGAGGAGTTTCGTGGGATGTCTGCAGCGGGAGGCCTCGTCAAAATGCAGGCTCGGCCTCGTCATTTTTTTGACGACCTCGTCGGGGATTTCCGAGTCCCCCGTACCCGGGTCTTACGTCTCCCCGGCCTCAAGAGAAGGTAAGTCGGGCCGAACGAAATGGGGGGATTGGGAAAGGGGGGGGTACGAAATCTGCTGCATGCAGCTGGTTTCGGCCTCACCGAGGGGCCCATTCCTCGATACGTGGCCGCCTTACCGGCGCCGGGAGGCGCCGGGAAAATCAGCTACGTGAGCTGATTCTCAACCCCCCCCTTTGCTATCCCCCCCTTTCGCCCGACCCGAGTAAGGTGTGTGGATTCGACCCTTCTGGGGGCGGCCGCGGTCGCACGGCTTGCCAGCGCTCGGCCCTGCCGTGGCCGTGCACGCCAGGCTTCTGCGTGGGCGCGCACGGTCCGGCCGGTTCGGTCGCGTCGCCGTCGGTCGGAATCGATCGGTCGGGTCTGTTCGGTTCTTGCGCGGCCCCTGCATCGGCGCCCGCCGCCGTCGTCGTCGTCGCAATGTGAGGGAGTGTCTGGCCCCTCCCCCCCCCGCGAGGGAATTTCTGCCCCCCTCTGGGCCATCTAAGAGCCCTCCGAGTTGGCTCGCACTCGTACTCCTACTCTTTCTCTTACTCTAGCTCTTACTCTTATTCGGATGCGACTCCTTGCAGGTCAAATTCTGACTTTGCCCTGGTCCGAAATCCGGCTCAATCCGGCTTAATCCCGCTTAATCCGGCTTAATCCCGCTTCATCCCGCTTAATTTGGCTTAATCTTGCTTAGTCCGAGGCCCACTCCGGCGTAGCAGCTCCCACATGGGGCTTAATCCTCCTTATTCTTTCCGACGACTTGGCATCGCTCGGACGTGTGCATTTTTCCCCGGCGAGAACCATCGAGGACCATCCTGGACCATCGAGGTAAACAAAACGCGCACGAAACTGAAAAATACACAGGAAATGGACGTCCGAGCGACGGCAAGACGAGAACCTCCCAGGAGTTGCCTCCTATCTCTTCCTCTCATTCTCACTCCTGCTCCTCGTCTGTTGCTTCAGTCGACGCGGTCTCGCCACGGAGGCCTCGCGGGCGCCTCGTGCTTCGGGCGGGCGCGGCGGGAGCTCGCTGGGTGGGCGGCCACGCGCGCCTCTCACGGGGTCTTCGGTTGCTCCACGCGTGAGGCCAGCCATGTGTTCGTGCGTGCGTGCGTGTGTTTTTGTGTGCGTGTATTTTTGTGTGTGTGCATGTGTGTGTGTGCGCGTGTGTGTGTGCTTGTGTGTGCGTGTGTGTGTGTGTCAGGGCTGGACCCAAACGGTGTTTTGGCGATTGCGTGGGCCGTGTTCGTTTCGACTTCGTTTTTGCGGCAGAGGCGGATTGAAGACAAAACGAGGGACAACGAAAACAACACGAAAACGAAAATCACCGTTTAGGTTCAGCCCTGGTGCGTGTTTGTGTGTGTGTGTCCAGCCTCCTGGCAATCTATCAGTGAAGCCGTCTTCAGGGAGAGGCTCCGATAGCCACTTATCCCACGTCGGCTTCTATCCGAATGCCTATTGGGGTGGGAGCGCTCCTCACACACTCCTGACGCTTCGCGCGTCCCCACTAGCCCACCCTGGTACTCCCGCAGTTGTCCGGGGTTCGCGCCCATGCATTAATCACTCGGCTTCTGTCCCTGGTCGTCGTTCTTCCCGACTACCTGGTGCTTCCGACGCCATGCATACCTGCACGCTGGCAGTACGACTCAGTTTCAGCTGCCCCCTCCACTCGCCGGACCGCCGCTGGGGTGCTGCGGAAGGCCCCGCTCAGCCGCTTTAGGTGTGGCCGCCCTCCGTTGCTTTAGGTGAATTTGTCGTTGCGTGCCCCGCTTTGACTGGACTCGCCGCTGGCGCGCTCGCCCGCGGCCGCTGACTAAAAAAAGTGTCCCCACTGGCTCATCGATCGACGGTTATCAGGCGAGTTGCCTTGATGAAGGAACTGTATGAACATAGTTGGCGCAAAGACGGTTTGGGGCCTCAGTCGGCTTCTTGGGGGCCTCCCGGGAGCCTGCTGGCCGTCTCGGGGTCCAACGGAGGATGAATGGTTTTCGTCGGCAGTTCGAGTTTCCCTCTTGGCCCTTCTTGAGGGCCTCTTGGGAGCCTCACGGGCCTCTTCAGGGGCTCGGAGGCCCTCTGGGGAGGGTCTTCGGAGCCTCTAGGGCCGTCTTCGACACCCTACAGGCAAGACGAGCACTTCGTTTGCGAACAACAGAGGAACACGCAACAGTCTCGGCCTCTTGGGCCAGCCCCCCAAGGACCCTCCAGCCTGCCCAAGAATCAGGAGGGAAAAAACACACAGACACAATTCATCGTCGATTCCCCAGAAAATATGGAAATCATGAGAAGTGGGGGGAAGACAGAAACCCACAACATATGGGGAACTATGGGAAATCTGGTTATTAGTGTATATTTATTTGTGTGTCCCAGTTCCCCTTCAAAGAGGCCCCCACGAAAGTCGCAGGACGGTCCCGTGGGGCTGCCGAAGGTGCCTGAACCCTCCAGAGCGGCTCTTGGCGGGGCTCTTTGGCGTCGTGTTTGGCGGGCTTGGCCGCCTGAGGCCCCGCCCTCGTGTGCCCTGTCTCCCTAATTAAAGCTGTGCGTAGCCCGCCTAGCTTTTTAGCGGAAGAGGTTCGCTCTCGCCCCGCCGACCCAAACAAGTGTTTGGCGGGTTTGGCTTCCCTGAGACCCACGAGGGAAGCGCCCGAGAATTCTGGCAAAGTGGTTGCCCGGGCCATGAAGAATCTCAGTCCTTGTGCCAGTTGCACATGTATGAGCTTTGGGGCAGCCCACTGCCCGCTGAAGGCACGGTGGCGGGTGTCTTCGCGAAGCTTCTGCGCTTCCCGTAGGTGCGATGCGCAGCACTTCATCGTTGGTGCCGTCATCTTTCGCACATGAATCAACTCCGAGGCAGGAATCTATACATGACCACCGCCTGCAGGATCATTGTTCGGGGACCTCGGCAGGCGGTGGATTTCGACATTTTCGGACCCCCGGGGGCCAACAATTACACCGCCCGCTAGGGCACCAGGACGTCGAGCCCGCTACCAAAATCCGCGGGAAACTTTCGCCAAATCTTTCAACTTCCACTAGGACCCCCTCAGTGCAAGTACTGATTGGGGAATACATCCCCGCCTCGCATCAACCGTGTTGTATATTTATGTTTATTATGGAGGCGCCTGTTTCTCCTCCGCGCTACCTTGATATTCTTATATTGCAGCAGGGTTGCATGCATTTTGGGATCTCTTGGGGTTCTCTTTGGGGCACTCTTGGGGTCCTTCGGGGCCCTCGCGCAACGATCCAGGAGACCGTCGATAACACGGGGGAGTCCTTAACGAAGCCCCCTCTGCAAGGGTCCGAAGCTCCCTTCTTCGGGCTGTCTGCGGACGCGCTTGGGAGTCTCAGGGGCCGGCTTGGGGCCCACTTGGTCCCACAACGGGGCTCCCTTGGGCCATCTTTGGGACATGCTGAGGTCTCAGAAGCTCAGCTGTAGCGAAGAAGACAAGAAGTTCAACAGCATCGGATAACCTGACGTAGGACATTGCAAGGATGTTGCCCTCTCGCGAGCGTCCTCGGAGAACGTCGTTACTTCCTGAAGCAGTCCCTCTTTGGAGCATGTCATGGTTTTCGGGGGGTCATGACGGGCTCTGTGTACGTGTGCCGTCTTGGGGGCCATTCTTGGATACATGAGCCTTCTTGGTGGGGGTCATGAAGGGCTCCATGTATTTGTGCCGTCTTGGAGTCCATTCTTGGATACATGAGCTTTCCTGGACCCATCTCAGGTCTAAATGTACCCTCTAACCCCTCGTGGCACCTCCCCGTCTAGATCCGGGGGAGGGACCAGGAAGGGGGGGTAAGCCTATGCCGGTGAGAGTCGCACCCTGAGGATAATGGTGCTCGATGCATGGTATGAAGATCAGAGCGACGATGCGAACTTGCGGGGTGATTCTAAAGTTCGCCCAAAGTTCGCCCTCCGCGCCT